GTTGATCCATACCAGCTGTCTCCACTCAAGAGCATCCATGCATGCTTGCGTGTGTGGTGCACTCTCTGTGTGTGCGGTTGGTATCCTGCATGTCGGCACAGCCAAAAGCTTGCATTCAAGTGACTGGGAAGTACATGGGAGGCGATTCGGGGCCGCCTCCAAGAAATAAGCCCCTTGTTCCGCTCCAGGATAGCGTGGCTAACTACCTGGAGGTCTATCCTAGCCCGCACGACAGAGCCTGGCAAGCTACTCGTGTGCCTTCAATATGCCGAAAACAGCAATATGGATGGGCCTCATTCCCCTGAACCTGAGGGAGCCTCCAATACGGCCAGCGTGGGGTAGGACCGCTCGGGAGAGGCTGCTAGAATCTCAGGGCCCGGATAGGCTGCCTAAACGAAGAAGGACTAAGATGGCGATCTGTACTTTCAACGCAAGGACGCTTGCATCCGAAGCTCACATCGAAGACCTGATGATGCAAGCCAGGAAGATCAAGTACGACGTCATCGGACTGACCGAGACGAGAAGGCACCGCCCGCTACACGCCGTTTTCGATACTGGAGAAGAACTGTTCCTTGGAACATGCGACAGCAGAGGCGTTGGCGGTGTGGGTGTCCTCGTCAACACGCACTTGGCCATAAACATCGATTCGTACGAAAGCCTTACGACCCGAATCGGACGTTTGAGATTGAGAAGATGTGGTTCAACTCCTGCTTTGACAATCTTCGTCGATCCGACCTACAGCAGACCAACAGTCGGTTAGATTACGATCGAGGAGGAACAACGAGAGTGCATTTATATGGATAGTGACGAGAAGTCGTCTACAAGGGATAGTCTTCTCTTCTTCAAGGTCATCGTCGGCGACTTCAACGCCAAGATTGGCCCGAGAAGAACGGCTGAAGAACTTCACATCGGTACTCACGGAATGGATTGGAATGAGCAGGGCGAAAGACTGTCTGAGTTTATCATGTCGACCAACACCATCCATGGTAACTTCGCAAAGTCCAGATAGCGGCTACGTTTCGATATGCGACTTGGGGAGTCACCTGATGGACAGTTCCATAACGAGATAGACCACATCATCTTCAATCGAAGGTTTTGCCTGACCGACGTCGCTGTTGTTCCGAAGTTCTACACGGGATCGGACCATCGTCTCCTCCGCGCAAAGTTCCACTTTTCGATGCGTGTTGAGAGAGCCTCGAAGTTCAGGAAGCGAAGCCCCAGGACAGTCATCAACTGGGATCACTTCGCTTCTCCTTGTCAGCTTATGGGAGGGAGGTTCCGTGTGTTATCCTGAGAAACATGCGACTGAAGGAATATTCAGTCGGGCTCGTTGGGAACACTCTCACGAGGAGTGGACATAGGAAGCACAGAGAGTTTTACAAGTCACAAAGGGTCTGTCTACTCGGAAACTCTCAATAACTGTTATCGCAAAGGTGGAGTACGCGACGAGATTAGCTATTGGCTAATCGACAAGCTCAACCGTCGAGTATTTGCCGAAAGCTAATGCAGGAAGAGGCGAATAAAGCGAAGACTCGAAATGGTTTCAACAGCGAGAGCAGCAGTATTAGCTAGAAAGCAGCAGAGGCTGGGAGGAGCATCCGCAATGCCCGCCGAAGCTTTGCCAGCTACAAGACCAAGATGACCTGCCTCCGACGTCCGGATGGAACAGTTACTGCATCCCGAAGGGCAATGGAGAAAGTCATCCACGACTTCTACTCGGATCTCTTCGATAGCCATGTCCATCTGCCCACTTATCAACTGCAACAGGATGGATACGTCGTCCCGACTCGCATACTCTTCTTCGAAGTTCGCGACACCGCCTATTCAAGTCGGTGAAGAATCGTACAGCACCCGGTCTCGACAGGGTCAAACCGGAACATCTGAAGAATGCGCCGCCAGTCATCATCAAAGCTCTGGCTCGACTCTTCACGCGCTACCTGTCGGAATGCAAGGTACCCACTCCGTGGAAAACCAGCAGGACCGTGTTGCTGTACAAGAAGGGAGACCCTGGACGAATCATTTTGGGCACTAATCGACAAACTGCCTGCCAGATCATGTGAAATCTACCAAAGCTAATTGCATACGAGGTGATCTTGAACAGGATCGGTGTACCAGAAGTAACTAGTCATGAAGGACAGCCATGCGAGCAAGACAGCTGAGTTCCGAAGAGTGGGTCGTCAGAACCAGGATACACACGGTTTACAGACTCATTTGGAAAGTTTCACGAGCTATGTACAGATGCCGCTTTGTCTCACGTTCATCGACTTGAAGAAGGCCTTCGACTCTGTGGAGACAGAAGCGGTCATCGAAGCCTTGGGCAACCAGGGCGTCCCTACTCAGTACATCAAGATTCTTCGTGAGCTCTACAGCAACTTTACGACCAGAATCTCACCATTCTACAAGGAGGTCATCATCGACGTCAAGAGAGGGGTTCGACAGGGCGACACCATCTCGCCCAAACTCTTCAGCGCCGCTCTCGAGAACGTCATGCGTCAACTGGAATGGGAAGACATGGGAGTGAAGGTCGACGGCCGGCAACTACACCACCTTCGTTTTGCTGACGACATCGTTCTTATAACGCCGAACATCGAGCAAGCGGAGCGAATGCTGGCTGATTTCGACTGCGCCTGTGGTAAGGTCGGGTCTACAGCTGAACCTAACGAAGACGATGTTTATGAGAAACGGATTGGTTTCTGATGCCCCATTCACGCTCAACGGAACGAACATCACCGAATGCTCAGCTACGTGTACCTAGGTCGGGAAATCAATATGATGAATTGAAACGATCTGTAGTCAGAAATCGTAGTAGGAGGACGGAAACGAGCGGCTTGGGGAGCGTATAAGAACATCGAGGGAGTAGGTGAAGAAGACGAAGAACATCCGGCTCCGTGCCCACCTCTTCGATTCCGCTGTCCTTCCTGCCCTAACCTACGCCTCAGAGACTTGGACTCTGCGCAGGCAGGACGAGATATGCCGGGTCGCGGTGCGGTCGACGAGGCCGATGCAGAGAGGTAACCTTAAAACGCAGTGACATGAGGGGATCTCCCGGATGGTGCCTAGAACTAGCACCAAAATCCGATTGCCAACGATCGAAGATCAGGGACGCTGCCGTTTTCGCCAAGGAATCGAAGATAAGGTGGGCCGGACACGTCATGCGATTTTGCGATGACCGTTGGACCAGAGCGGTTACCGACTGGATCCCTCGGGACGTCAAACGAACACCTGGACTCTGACGCCGCGTGCCGTATGGTCAGACTTTCGTCACGAAGGCTCTGCAGTACGAAATGGCATGCGAGGACATCCGTGTCCTCGGAAGCAGAGTGAGTGGCCGTTCCACTGGACAACTTTTGCACGCGCCAGGAGGACTCGAACTGCCTGTCAAAAGCACCGTACTACTGTTTTACCACTGGTGACTTCCGAAATTCCCTACATCCCGGACTTGTCCCATTACACACGGTCTACATCAAAGAACACAATCGAATCGCTGCTCTGTTCAAGCGAAGCAACCCATCGTGGAATGATGAGCAGACTTTCCAGGTGAAAAGCTCTATAGCTTTATTTGATAAGTTTTGAGCTGATTAGTAGCATTAGTCACATATACTGATAACAAATGGTACGAGTTTGCCCATTTTTAAGAGCACTAGGGTGCAATAGTGGAAACGAATTCGCCTTGGGGACTCTGGTTGCTTCTCATGGCAAATCATTTGAACTGTTTTTCTGGCGATGCATACTTGGCCTTCCGTTCATAGCAGATTCCAGAGCATGTGGAAAACAGGGACCTTGCACCCACTTCAGTTAGGATTTGGCGTCGGAGTACAACTCAATTGGCATTGTGTTCCCGCAGGAATATATCTGTTGTGTGATCGCATGCTCAAGCAGGGTCAACCGTCACGTTGGACCGATTTCGAAAATTTTACGACCCCCTCCCCCTTCTAGAGGGCCTCGATACGACCCCCCTCAGGGTCAACCCTTCACCACCCTCGCCTGCCATCGCCATCATGGGGCTCATTCTATAGTATTCGATTCTGAGACCAGTCCAAACTCCGCCCACTTTTTCCTCCAAAATTGCCGTCGAGCGGGGGGGGGGGGGATACATACGCACGCTGAAACGGCAAAATTTTAGCGCGCCAACCAACTGCATCATCACTTCCCTTACTGTAACATTAACGCTACCTCGCGAAATACGACCCCCACCCCCCCCTTGGACTTTGTCCAACGTACGGTTGACCCAGTGCTCAAGCGCCACCGAGGAAGTCAATTCCACATTTGGCGCGCGATTTTCAACTGCAAGTGGGTGCGACGTCGCGAGGTGACCCCTGTCACAAGTCAAATGGAGACGTTTCGTTATCTTGAAAGTTCAGGTACTTCGGCCCTGACACTCATTTTCTTACTGTTTCTAGGAAGCTCGTCGCGTGAACATTGCTCAATATCAGCATCAAGTCTACTCTGAGTATCTCCCATTAGTTGTCGGCAATAAACTCTGGAATGACTTCGGCTTGAAGCCATTGCAATCTGGATTCAGTACTGGTGAATTTAATATATCAAAACTTGAAAAAAATTAAAATAACAGCAAACTATTGCTGCTTTCCGAAGATGAACGTTCTCATCTCAGGTTACTCCACCTCGGTGAACGCAGCTCTTTCGGCAGAATTCGCCGCTGCTGCATTCCGATTTGGTCATGGCACGGCAAGGAAAGATTTCCCAAGGTGAAAATTTCACAGGGTTTCGGAAGTAAACAACGTAGACGCGCGAGCCGTCTGTGCTCTCCACGCGCCCATTTACCCTCGACCTTTTCTCACACCGTACAGAGCCATGGTCGAATTCCTCGACCGTTGTTCATTCGGAGTGACGGCACTCTTGTACAATTGGCACGTGAACGGCGAGAACGTCACAAGATCTGTCTAGTGGACAGTTTTACGAGAGCGTGATTGATCATGGATTGTGCTTTCCATGTATACGTACTGCAGGTTCCAAAATAGGATCTTCTATGAAGGGTTCAGTCTTTCGGAGTGTAGCGAGTGGATTCACACGGAGATTACGGGTTCCATCCCTTAACTGCCCGAGCCACACCGACTGACTTATAACTCTATTATTTATACTTTTTACAGAGTCACCAACAGTAACAAAACAGCTGGCGCAACAGTCGACATGGGCAGTAATATCTTCTATGTGGACTCGCACTATGCGGCAAATCAGGGAGGACAGGCATCATTCATTGAAGGTACTTGTTTCTCAAAAATAGCTCCATATTGCAAAATAAAGGCAAGCCTCGGGCTAAAATTGCACAGGAGCTCCAGGGTTATGGCTGAGCTGAAGAGCGAATTGAAAGTGGAAAAAGTGCGAGAAACCATCGAAAACGCTCAAATTAGAACCAAAGTGACCCTCGAGTAAGGTCGACTTTTGGTACATGTGAGAAAGGGGCGACACAAGGTGAAAGAACAATGACCGCCAACTAAATGACAAAGAGAAACACACTTGGTTTAAAAATGGTATTTTTTAAGTTGATTTCGCACAGTCAATGCGAGCGGTGGGTTGGAAAAAGGCGATCACCTGGTTCAGAAATTCATGACGATTAGGCGCTCTACATTCGATTTTGGCGCTAGCACTTACTCTGCGGCACGTAAGTACCACACACGTTTCGTTCGAGGCCTGGTTCCTACTACTAGTGGGCCTAATACCGGACATGGCCTTTAAAGGATAGGTTGGAGAACTAGTTGTGGAATGGAGTGGTAATAAATCTCAAATGAAATCAATAAAATGATGTGCTAATATTAACTGCAAGACGGGGCGGTCATATTGCGCGATCACATAGCCATCGCTCCTGCGACGCAGACAAGGCGGCCCCAAGTTTTTATTTTTGGCTAAATAGTCCGCTCTGCTCACTCACTACTCAACAATTATTAGTGTGCTGAATTCTTGATATATTTCGGTCCTCAAAAACTCTCGCCGGGTCTCCAAAGATCAAAAAAGGGTCGGAAAGCTTTGCTGCGCCTGTGAGCCTAACAAGGCAAAATAACGAAAACAAATGTGATGAGCGATGAGTTATTCGAGCACGCAAGGACGTGGTAATCTTACCGGCGTCTGCCAATGCCATAATGGACCGCCACTATGACGTACACCGCTTCTTTGCATTGTATATTGCGGGCATATTTTCGTGAGAGTGGTAAACAAAATCTAAGAGCTTGTAAAGTTCTCCCGCAACTAATCGTTGAGAGTCATGTTTCTTAACACATTGACGACCGCGCGCGTTTTGGCTTTTTTGGCCGTGTGGGACCGGGCCGATTTTGCGAGTGCGACCGCCGCACCTCGGATCCGTGAATTTTTATTGATAACTTTTTAAAGCACCAGTGGTACAAAAACATCTCAGTAACAGTCAATGCGTAGAAGGTAATAGAGTATATAGTGACGAAGTTCCGATTAAAGAACATGTAATGGTAATGAAAAAGGAAACTTTAGTCATTTTATCTGTAGTGGATGCCAAAAGCTCTTTTGATGTGGTTATACCAAGTGAAACATGTATTTTTCTGTCTCTTTAGATTTGCATTTACTTTCACTACCCTTTTTTATTGACGTGTTCATGAGAATAGCATGAAAACTATTAATGAACCAAGCCGCCGGTTTCGGTGAGCTTGGAAAACTTCTTCTAAACTGGAGCATATTTGAACAAACAATGACCTATGTCGTTCACAATAATGTTATGTTCTAATCCATAGAAGAGAGACAAACAATTCGGGAAAAAGCTGCGCATGCCCTAGAAAAAGGGATGATAAGGGTGAGACGCGGTAACGCGTCTCAATGTCCAACGTGAGGTGCGCAAAGTGAGACGCGTTACCGTCCGCGCCGTCTCCTCTCACCTGTACGTAAAAATAGAAGTGTTAAAATAGGCTTTATGGGCTCAATCAATGAGGCAGTTGAGGGGGGGGGGCGTGTGTGGAATTGTGTCGATGGTCCACGTCTAATAACTGCCCACACTCCCCACCCCCCTGAACTGGCTTCACTCTCCTCTGGCTCACGGGGTCCCGTACTTCGAGAAACCTGTGCGCCAGGGAGTGTAGGCAGTCTAAGGGGGTGGGAGGGTGAGGGCAGCCACTTGCTGCTCCCCCTTACTGGATGAGTGCCGCTTCATGCTTTTGAATGCTGTCAAATGAACTGAGGGAGGAAAAAGAATAAACGAAATCAGGATTAGCTAATCGTGGATATGTTGCCCTATGTTTAGCGATACTTTGTAAGTTTTTAGGCTCTAATAGTTTACAAAATTACGTATATTCTTGCATATATTCATATGTTAATCCAGACTCATTACGGCTTTTTTTCGAAATACAAAGCGGATAAATAATTGTTCAAGGTTCGGAGATTTCATGTTAGGCCGTTGTGTCTTTCAGGTATGATGCATCATCCAGCAATGAAATCCGACAAGGAGTTTTCGTTCCCTATCAGAAATCAGCTGTTCGAAATCCGTGGCCAGCCCGGATCTGGAGTGGATTTGGTGGCAGTTAATATCATGCGAGGACGTGACGTCGGCCTGTTCCCATATAACGATTACAGGTAATAGAGAGTAGTTTCTCAGAAGGGTGGAGACGTTGTAGCGTCAATTTGCGCTGCATAGCATGAACTTCACCCTGATAAACATCCCACCAAAACGATGGGGGTCACTTACGTTAGCGCCTCGCTAGACCCCTACGGACGCGTCCTTTTCCGCGAACGGGTCACATCTGAGTCACTCAGAGGACTAATCTTCCTTTACAGTAGGTTTTCCTTTTCTCCAACATCCAACTCATAGACCACCCGTCTTCAAGGGTTGAGGCCTGCTGAGATGTAAGCGCGCTTTCAGGCGCTGAGCCATCGAAGACAGCGCTCACTCTGCGCGAGACATCTGCCTGTAGAGGGCATGAGGCACGAGTTTATGTATTCTGGGTATGATTTTGGTTCTAGTAGTATGTTTCGTTATATTTACCTTCTTTCTAATAAAAAATAGGTTGCTGTCCTCCGAATTTTATTTACAGGTCCTTAGCTGGGCTGCGACGAGCGTCTACTTTTGATGATCTCAAGGCCGAAATGGACTCCTCGAACGTGGAGGCACTGAAGCGGGTCTACGCAGATGTGAATGACATCGATCTCTACACGGGTATCATTCTAGAGAGGCCCTTAGCGGGAGCAGCGGTAAGGTGCTTCGCTTTAAAGGAATCTTCCACGGACCATGGACCAGTGGGCGGGACCGGAAGTTTTTGTGACGAAATGCATGGTAGGTACGGATCCACGTGTCGAACGCACGAACGTGAACAGGATTCACTTCAAACCTTCCCATGAACGTGGATCCGTACCTACCATGCATTTCGTCGCAAAACCACTTCCGGTCCCGCCCACTGGTCCATGGTCCGTGGAAGATTCCTTCGAATCATCAGCGAATAACCGTTCCCTTTGTTTCAGATTGGACCAACTGGAGGTTACATGATTGCCGAACAGTTCTCGGCCTTGAAGAAGGGCGATCGATTTTTCTACGAGCATCAGGTGGCATCGACAAGAGGATTAAGGATTGGTACGGCTTAACGATTCTAATCCCAATCAGATTTACTTTTTAGACTTTTACCGGAGGTATACCATAAAAGAGCAGTGTAGATCAATCAGTACAATAATGCCCTGGTAACGCTTCTAAATACATACATATACATAGGTGCGTGCAGAGATCGGTCGCAACATCTACAGAATCATAATCTACATATGATGCGCCAAGAGGGTACAACAGAGCGGGCTCAGTTTGGTGTGTCATTAGGTCCAGTTTTTGGTCGAGTGTATGCACTGCTATAAGTTCGCACATGCCTGAAGCTGTGTGAGCAGCTCCACAGCAAGGGGAGCCGAGTAGTTCTGGATGTAGGGGTGGGGGGAGGAGTATATATATGATCCGGTAGATTGCGCTTACGTGCAGGAGTTGCCATTTTCACCGCTGTGTGTCGTACAGCAAACCCACTGGGCTGAAAACTGGGTAGAGCAGCTCTCGTTATCCCAGCTATGCTGTTATCGCGGCTCGAAAGTATGCGACAATGACGCTAGGGCCTTACAAAGTGAGCTAACGGCTAATGTGAGCTAATGGACGAGATACCTCGCGCACCCCATGACACGCAACGTGGATTACAACGTAGCGGCTACTCCAAATACGCGCGGGTCAGTGAGGCCATGGAGGAAGCAACTCCGGACAACTCGTCCAGAACGCTCAATTCAAGGGGAACAAAGGGAGATCTTGTTGGGGACTTCTTAGGCGATTTGCTTTGCTTCTTCCATTCAAATCTGGGTCCACAATTTCATTGTCAACTGCTGTTATCCCACTATTTTACAATGGGGTCGATGCCTTAATTGTTGTCCTAGGGACCCTTCCTCTCAGGCTACAACTCGCTACTTTGTTTTTATAGAAGAACTGGAAGCTGTTCGACGGTCGCACTTGGCGAAGGTCATATGCATGAACACAGCCGGCATGGAAACTGTGGGAAAGGATGTGTTTTCTTTGTGAAGTGTACTTCTTCTAGTGGTCCATTAGTACGAGTAGTTTTGTGTGCTCTAGAAAGCATATTACATGACTGATCAAACACTTAATGGGATTCACTTTATAGATCGTCCGAACGGGTCCCATGCAGTTCTCTCCCCGAAATCGACATTCGACACTTCACACCTCCACCTGTACCTAAATAGTCTTCAATATAAGACCGGCAAGTCCTTGCCAAAACACAGACGTCGCCTAAAAATAAAGAATTGCTCAGCACTCATTAAATAACTACGGTACTGCAATTGTTTCTTGTGTACTTGTACATCATTTTTACGATGCAGAGCCAAAGCAATTCCCTTTGAACTGTAGGATGAAGTATGACCCCAGCAATACGCATTTGGCCGATACAGACTGGTGAGGCTGTCAACAGAACAACTGCACAACTCAGCGAGCTTTATGCTCCCAGACACCTTCGATGCGTGTGAACCAAAGTCGTACGGTGAGATGCTTTGCGTAATTGACCGGAGTTAGACCAATGGTTTGCTTCCCCATGGTTAGGGAAGGGCGGTCATAATCGCCATA